AACACTTTGTGTTACTAAGGATTTTTAATGTGATTCAAGTAATAGAAGTATTCACAGATCAGCTAATGCAAGCTTGAAAGATCTTTGTGTGAAATCCTAATAACAAGAGCATCTGGAATAATTGCTGGTGCAACTGCTGTGCAGTGATTAAAAAAATAGGTATAGTGAAAGAAAACTTCAAGATGTGTAGCAGTATACAGTTCACAGAGAGCTCAGGTTCTTATTCTGGTAAGTCTACAATGGTAATATGGAACAACTTGAAGTACTGCACAATAAAAGTTTAAATGCATTCAGAATTTTCCAGTCTCAAACTGTTCATTAATTAAAGCAGCCAATTTCAGACCTGAAGGGAAAATAAAAGCAGAGCCAAAACTTAGCTGGCAGTCATTTGATAGTAAAGCTTGTGGGAGCCAATTACTTACATGGTCCCTAGTGTTTGCAAATACCTTTCCTTCTAACTGAAACAATTTTTTGTTTTATTTCAAGCCAAAATGCATGGGTTTTTGCAGTCATTAAAAATATGTATCATGAAAGAAAACTTCAGAGTTGTGTAGCTGTATATGTAGAAAGCTCAGAGTCTTGTTTTGGTAAGGCTGCAGTGGTGTGAGTTTGCTTGGAATTATGTGCTGTCTCTTCCAGGTGATCATTAGCGCAGCCAACTTCTGGATGTAGTTTACACAGCAAGACAGATTAAAAATGAACCAAACCCCTTACTTCAAAAAAGCAGAGAAATTCAAGGTATTTGGGAAGGTTTGGAATGTTTACCAGGCAATTGTAAAGTTTTGGGGAAGTTGTTGTGTTCCAGTAAACCATAGCTTCATAGTAATTCTTAAACTGTCAGGCCTGTGGATTTGTTGCATAAGGACCACATTTCTGTGTAGAAAAGAAGGGTGAGTCTGTTTTGGCTGACTTGATGCTTTGTAGCATGTTGTGCATGGCTCTGTGATTAGTAGGGGGAACTACATCTGTTGCATTTATGGAGCAGCAGATCTTAGCGGAGACTGAGTGGAAAAGCTGAAGACAAGAGATTTTATGCCTAAGTTCAAGTAATTTGTTTAAAAGACCATTTTTTCTTTTAAAAAGAAAAAATATAGTGGCAGAGTGCTTCTTGTAGTGTTGTTGTATCTTTTTGCAAATCTTCTTTTGAAACAGAGCATTAAAATATTTAGCAAAATTTTTGTTACTTTCCCAAGTAAACACAAGGTTCAAAGCCAAAATATTTGTATCCAAATTTTCAGTTATATAAGCAATGCTAAAATAAACCATTTACCCAAAACCTGTTGTCCTAAGGGCTGTATCCTGTTTCCAGGTGTAAGCCAGTTTAGTGGGACGTCAGTCATAGCTCTTCCATGTCTTGCCAGATCTACAACTTTGCTCTTCCTTTGTGGATTATGAGGGGTGCCTTAGTATTTGATGTTGGAAAACTTGATCTGTGAGCTCAGCATTTTGATTCATGTTAAACTTTGTCTTATTCATCAGCCAGTGGTGGTTTTCCCCTCTGTCTAGAACACCTTCTGGCCTTGTGGATTTGGATGACTAATGGTTTTCTTTAGGAGTTTGTCTTGGTTCATTTCCTCTTCTGAATTCAGATGAAACAGTGAAGCATCTCTGAGGACAGAGGGAGAGGGTGGTTGCCTTGTGTCTCTCCTGAGCCCCTCTTACAGATAGAGTCAATGCACTTGCCCTCTCTTGGGGTAAGTTGCCTCATCCTGAAGGATGGGTTCCATTTGCCAGGAAAGCTGTTTAATGATTTTAAGTAGAATAGTAGTTTTTCTTTATGTTTAAATTATAAAAAGATTTTGCGTAGAACTTGACGTAACAATAAACATTCCCCAGGGATGTGATCCTTTCCCTCTGTCCCTCCCAAGTGAACAGAACTCTGCTCCAGTTTGATTTTTCTTATCTCTACAGCTCATCAATTTTGCTGCTATTGAAGTGCTTAAAGTAGCTTTTCAAGTGCCAAACTATTATTTTTAGGTAGGAAGAATTTAGGAAAGCTGACAGAAAAACCAACTGATTTCTGATTGGGTATTTTCTAGTATTTAAAGTATACCTGTTAAATCTCCTTATCTGTAGAGGCTTTCTTTTGCAAAAGCACAAGAATCTTCTTGGACTAATAATTGGTTGAGTTTTATTTTAAGCTAATGATTTCTGGCTTTCAAGAAATTATCATCTTGGTCTCCTATATAAGAAAACTACGTCATGAATATTGTAGGGTATATTTAATAAATTTAAATGGAACAGAAACTATCTGGCAAGACTTATACTTCAAAGGAACCTACAGTTCATCAGGAATACTTTAACTGATTGTAAATGTGTCCCTTTCTTATGCATGTAAAAGGTTTAAAGTATTCTGTGAGCACTGAGGTCTTTTATCCCTTCGGTTGCTTATGGAATACTAATGAAAGTAATGTATGTGCATCATGTGGAAAATATGTTGGCAGACAGATAGATACCTGCAGTGCCTTAAATGCTTTGGCATTGTCTCTGTTTAATCAGCATAGTCAATCCCTGCTTCCCTTAGGGGTTTATACTTTCAGCAAAAGATCAAAGGTTTATATGAAGGCTTAAGCAAAAGTAAAATTCACCTATTTTAGAGATGAATTAATAGATAAACAAAAGCTTAAAAATAAAACTTTAGGCATCCCAGTCTCTGATATAAAATGTCTTGTAGGAGCAATAATTATGGTAGTTATATATATTTTAAAAATCAGACATCTGAGATGTTAAGAGAATAATTTCCTGGAATTAAGTACTTATCTGATTAAACTTTTGTGATTTGTTTTCATGATGCTTTCTAAAAGAGTAGCTGTTTTATGGTGTGTCTGTGTGCTTTGCTAAATTAATAAACTGACTTGCCATTGAAAATGCTCTTTGAGGAATTCAAAAGACAACCCAAACCCAGCTCTTACATTAAAGTAACAGCTAAAATATTCAGTACCATGTTTGGGTGTTCTGTCTGCCTTTCTGTGGCACTGATTCCTTGTGTTACCATTTACATCTGCTTAAAACGCTATAGAGCAAGTTGAGTGTTTCATTGAAGGCTGATTCCAGGAAATGTTTAGTAGAATAGAGGAAAAAAGCCTAGAAATAGCAACAGTTAAATTTAAATTATGATGCAGATATGGTATCCTAATGCTAAATAGGAAATACATAAGTGGAGTGGTTTCAGTAAAACTGCGGGGAAACAGGAGTACAAAGCAATTACATAAAACAAGATTGTGACTGGGGTAAAAAAAAATTCTATCAGCCATGTTTTCTGAATGCCCTTCATGCTTTTTTATTAGAAATTAATTTTGATGTGTTAGTATTTTATCTCTACTCTATAGCACAATAATGGTTATTTTGTTAAGAAAATTTCACAATATTTATCAATTGTTGTGTTCTTTGCAGCTGATACCATACTTAGTGTTTAGTTGTCAGCTGCTGCTGAAATAGCAAAAATGGACTCTGCATTTGAAGTTGGAGCATCATCAGCAGATGCATTTGGGTTCAGTTTGCTGACACGTGTGTAATGTCTTAGCTGAAATTTGCAGTGAACAATATATTTAATTTTCCCTGTAATTGAGCTTACAGGGTACAGAGTGAGTTATTCAATTTCTAAGAAAACTCTGAGCTTCAATTCTGTTCTCTGCCAATGTTGTTTGCATGGACTGCCTTGCCTGCATCAGCCCAGTGCTTCTGAGTGTTCAACTGGAGTCTGAGTATTTGAGTTAGTGAAACAGTAGATAGGACAAAACTGTGTCCATCTACTAGATGTGGTGGAGAATTTTCCACAGGATGAACTTCACAAATGGTTATTAAAAGTTTTCCTGCACCTTAGGAATATAAAATAGAATAGAATATAAGTTAATATACTATAAATTAATATACTATAATATAAATTAATGTAATGTTTACCTAAATAAATAGTGCTGTCTGTTCATTACTAGTTGTCTTCCAGTTTTAATTAGGTAGAATTTGTAAATGCCAGAAAGTTGTGCACTCTTTAAAACAGTAACCATTTTTTAAGCTAACAGAACAGTGTATTTACTTTCAACACTTCAGTTGAAAGTAAATATAGAAATTGAAGCATTTAGATTAAATTTAATTGCTTTGGCAATTTCTAAAATGAAATAGGGATATTTGGTTTTTCTGCCTTGGGTATAATTCGATTATATTTGTAAAGTCTGCAACACCTAAGTGCAGTTTGGAATAAGAGACTCTAACTACTGAGTTCATAGTTTCCTAAGAAATGTACCAGAATTGTGACTCCATAGAAATAAGTTTTTCTCAGTTATTTTCTCACTTTTTTATATTTCACGATGGAATTAAGAGTGAATGTTGCAACTGTGATTTAAAATATTTCAATTTTCTGTGGCCTTTCACCAGTCAGTTCAGTTAAATGTGTATCAAAATTGTATTTGAAACTGTTATTTATCTTTATTGTAATAAACTTCTTGTTTGTTTTAGACAAAATACTAAACAGTACCAAATACCTTTGGTGTTCTGAATTTCCTGCATGTGTGTGGTAGAAGTGTTAGTAATGCCACAAAAGACTGCTGGTTTTACTACAAAACCAAGTTGCTATATAGGCAAATCCTAAGGTACAGTATAGTTCCAGAGTCTCTTGCACAGACTTGCAGGGTTGTGTTACATCAGGCACTAAATGTCATGAGTTTCAGGTGGAATGCCTGTTCTTCCAAAATGTGAATTAAGGAACCCTTCCCCCTCACTTTTGCAGTTGGTGGATACTAGTGTTAGTGTCGGAAGCTGTGCATTCCAGGGAGTAAAATTCAGCCTGAACTACAAAGAGCCCTCATGTCTGCTTGTCACAGCATGTTTTTGAAGTCTTTTGTGTAATAGTGACTGGTTTAAAAGCATATTTTGTTGATTAAAAAAATACAGTAGGTCATAAAACAGGAAAGGCGGGCTTGTTCCTAATGTGTGTGAGAACATTCAGTCTTATGAGTGTTGATGCTAGACCAAGAAAATATTGATTAATTTAAAATTTGATTTAGTTCTCCTGAAAAAGGTATGGATAAGAACACAGATGAAGAGCAGCCTTCAACTGCATGTAACCAGTACCCTAAGGAAGCAGTGAAGAAACGTCCGAATTCGGGTCGAGGGTCCGGGGGCAATGATTCTTCCAGGACCTTCAGAAAAAGCTTCAGGCTGGACTACAGATTAGAAGAGGATGTAACTAAATCAAAGAGGGGCAAAGATGGGAGATTTGTCAACCCATGGCCAACGTGGAAATCACCAACCTTACCCAACATTTTGAAATGGTCCTTCATGGAAAAAAATAACAGCAATGTGCCACGCTCCAAGCAGGTGAATACTTCCATGTTTTACTTTTGTGATTAAGACTGCTTTTACCTCTGCTCTAATCAGTAAAATAGGACAGTTTCTAACTAATACTCATTAGGTATTTTCTGGAGACTTTTCTAAGTCTTATTTTTCTGCTTTTATTGACATTTTATTATTTTCAAAAGGTAGGTGAATACTTTCTACCTCTTTAATTTTTATCTCCTTGTTAGTTCCACATGCTTTAATTTATACAGCTCAGTTTCTATTTATAAAAACAAAAAAAAATTGGCACCCTAGCTCAGTCATAAACCCATTACAGCCCTTCCATTTTAATAGGTGTTGCCTTATGAAGCATACTATTAACTTGTGTTGCATGAAATAGCTTATTTCATGACATATCCAGTTTTTAAAATTTTGCCTTTTTTCCTGTTGGCAATTTAATACACATGTTGCATCTCTTGCATGAAGATGTAATAGTTTCTGTCACCTACTTAGGAAAATACTTACAAATCTGGCTTTTTATGTTTCAGTACACCAGGAGAAAAAACTGCATGTGTTAAAACTAACCTGAGCAAGTATTTGTACTGAAACACCTAAAGTGTTTCAGAAACCTAAAGTACAGTGCCAGTTTACTGGGTAACACTGTTATTTGTTGGTGGTGAAATGCTTTTGTCAGGTGTTGTATGTAAAGAAGGAGACAGGAGAAGCTTCTTTCCCATGAAGAGTAATGGGTACTGGAGAGCCACGAGTTATCTTTATGGTCACAGGAGGTATGAAGATGACCAGGTTTTGACAGAATTACTTCTCAGTGCATTTCTGATGTGTTGACTGTATTTCAGAAAAGCTGTGCAGAAGGGTTCACAACCAAGGACAATATTTTTTAACAAGCAGGTGTTAATAATGCTTTTAAGCATGCAGGAAGGTATGCACAAGCTATAAATCTCACAGCCAGTATTTAGTAAAGAGCTTTCCATTTTGTCTTACCTGAACTACCTGTGAAGGAAGGAATTCTGTCAGTTTTATGGACAGGAAAGCCATGTTAGGCATTAACACATGATGGTCAGAGGTTTGGGGATGTTTAAGGAACAAATAAATTGGCTGTAATATAATAATAATAATAATAAATAATTTGTCTTAGAAAGAAGAACAGCAAACTTGTGTCAGTCTTGGGATCCCATCCAGCAAATTTGGTGTCTTCCTTGTGGTGACAACGGTTGCATCAGTGTGTACAGCTTTCTAGACAATGTGCTGGCCACGTTTTCATGAAATGCACACACCTGTATGTTTTCAGTTGCCTTTGACTGCTGCCCTCCTTGGTATGTGTAGAACAAGCTTCATGTCTTCCCAGTGCCAGTCAGAAACCTGGGTAGTGACTGAAGTTGCTCGAAGGCAATGCTGAGGTGTACTGTGGAGTGCAGAGCATACAACACTCTGATGGAGTGCAGAACTGCAGCACTCCCCTTTAATTTACAGTTTGTCCCTACAATAAAGGATGATCACAAAGAAATCTACAAGGCACCAGTTGAAAAGCCATCTCTCTGACCCAGCTGGGATTAATCATGGGCTAATTTTATTTTTTGCATAGGAGATCTTTTAATTAGGCACCTGCAATTATTCACGAGTTTCGTGAAGTAAATCAGAAACAGAAATGAAATGCACTTCTGGAGTCCTCAGCCATTTTTGATGCTTGTTTCAACCAGTTTTCTTCCACCCCTACATCAGCCTGTGAAGTGCATCTGAGTTTGTTTAAAATTCAGACTATGGGCTCCATACTTTATTTATCACTGCTAGATGTCATGTCCTGTGAGCCAGATTTCTCCTTCAGTTTCCACACTGAGTGAGCCTAGTGATGCCCTGCTATTCTGGGCAGGTTCAGTTTATCTGTACCAAGTGCTTTGTGTATGTAAAAATGAGCATATTATCCAGGATATGTGCTTGTGCTTCACTGTGGAAAAGTTATATGTATTATAATCATGCCTTCACAATGAGCCTATATCATCATCCAGAATGCATTCTTGTATTTTCATTACAGGTTTTATTATTAACTTTGTTCAGTGCTGTTGGAGGATCTTTAATTATTAGTTGTTGGATCAGCAGTTTAGATTGTTCTCATTTCTGTAAATCCTGTGGTATTCCAGTATGCACTAAGCACCAAAAATCCCAGGCTAATCAGCTAGTCTTACCAAAGCCTGTCATGTGTTTTTTCTTGCTTTGCATTAGGAGGGCAAGAAGAATGGCGAGGGGGAAGGGACACAGCAGGAGGAATTTTTTGTATTACTTGAGTAATGAAGACAAGACAGTATTGAGCACATTTTACTTCTGTTGCTGGCTGATTCAACATAATTGCTGTATTTCAAAATTCTGTTATAATTCTTCTAATTTAATATGTTTCTGGTTAGTCTGACAGAACAAAAATGTATTCTAGAAGGATATAAGTTCCATAAGATGCATATTTAATTCATTATATTGCTTTATCCTGTTGTGTGAGTTTTAAGTATTTCATGTGAAGTATACTGCTAATAGAATTTGTGTTTAGTTAGAAATCTTATGAGTTGAATATTTCTTATTGCTTTAAGGGGATTTTGGTGTGCTTTTGTAAAATACTAAAAAAAAAAAACAAACAACTAAACAACCCCAAACACAAATCATGTGCACTGAGAAGTAATGTTCTGGTGTGATTTACCATGATAGCTCAACAATATGCCTGGTTTCTGATCTCATCCTCTGAGGAATCATTGCTTTGGATCAGAGCCTGTGTATCACAAACCTGGAGAGCACAAGCTCTGTACAAATTACACTGCCTTTGTGCTCTTGGTTTGTTTTGAACTTTTGTTCATGGAATTTCATTTAAATAGGTCAGGATAGCAGTTCTTTGGATTGTGCTCTTCTCTATCAGTCTTCCTGTCTCTGTGACTTTTGTAAATGCCTTTTATAGTGATTAGTTCTACCTTTAAATCAACTATTCTAAATACTTGATAGCATCAATCCCACTGACATCCCTGTAAAGCCTTTATTAATAGTGCAGATGTGTTGTGGCTTTAGGCAGCCAAGTTCCAGTCAGCTGCTTGCTTCCACCCTCCACTGCTTGCACCCCAGTGGATTGAGAGGGGAAAAATCAGGTAACTTGTGGGTTGAGAGAAAGACAGTTCAACAGGTAAAGCAAAAACTGCCTGCACAAGCCAACTAAGAAATGTATTCTCTTGGCATGGGCAGGCAGGTGTTCAGCCATCCCCAGGAAAGCAGGGCTGCATCCCATGTAACAGTTACTTGGGAAGGTAAACACCATCCACTCTGAATGTCCTCCACCTCCTCCTCTTATCCCAGATATTACTGCTGGGTGCAATGCCATATGATATGGGATCTCTCTTTGATGGATTGGGGTCAGCTGTCCCAACTGTGTCCCTCCCAACTCCTTGTGTGCCCCAGTCAGCTGGCTGAGATGCTGTGTAAGCACTGCTCAGCAGTAGCTAAAACATCAGTGTGCCATCAGCACTATTTTCAGCACACATCCAAAACATAGCACTGTAGGTGCTACTGGGCAGAAAATTAACTGTACCCCAGATAAAACTTCATAGAATATGTCTGAGTCCCACTTAAGAACTAATTTTTCACATCTGCCAATTAGCCAGTTCCTCATCCATTTAATATTGTTTATTAATATTGCATAATGCTAAATAAAAAAACTAATTTGTGCCAAATGTCAGCAAAAATAAGTGAATTAATTTACTTCTGAGAAAATGTGGAGTCTGACTCTAAAACCAGCTACTTAAAAAGAATATTTTCCATAAAAAATGTACAAACTGACCTAAATTGCATTATGACAATTCATTAAGTTCCATATCTGAGTTTTATTTCTTTGATATAATCTGATTTGTTGACTTAACCTTATGTAATTTGTTGGTTTATCCTAATTTCCATTTTTGAGTACTATGTTAGTTTTGTGTATCTGTTGTTTTGTTTTTTTTTAAATTGAAATATCACAGTATAATGCTTCTGTGGTTCAGATTTCTGTGGCCAATGTTGTTCCATGTAGAATGAAATAGATATAAGAAAATGATGGCTTCTTTCTTGGTGAAGCAGCCATTTATCTCAGTCTAAGATTCCTACTTTTCTTGTATGAACTAAGGGGTTGAATTGTACTAACCTTATATTCAGCTTTATAGGAGGTTATCTATTTCTCATTCCTGGAGACAGTAATGAAACTTCTTCAGTAAACATGTCTTGTCCATTAGCTCTCAGAAAAAGCAATTTCATGAATATTTTATTATTTACAGCAGAATTGCAGGGGGATGGAGATGTGCATACTTTGTTTTTCCCAACATATGCCTTCTAAATCAATAAAATATTGTGGAGAAAGTAACTTCCCTGAAGCTGTCAGGACTGGTTTAGCAAGGCAACTCCTGGAGTCCTAAACTGTCACAGCATCAGCTGGACTTCTAAAGGAGCACATGGTCAGCTCTGTATAAACTCACTGATAGTGCTAATCTCTGCTAGGCTGAGAGAATGAGAGCAGCAACCATGGCAGGCAGAACTTGACTTGGAACCAGAAGTGCTGGGACATTTATGATTGTGAGGGAGAGGAGTGTCAGGAGTCTAGAAGCTGCCCTAGCACATGAAAATTCTTCTAAAGCAAAGTGAGGAGTTCAGACTATAAGCGTTTGGGAGGAGAGCCTTAGCCACATTGGGGCTAACCTGGAGATGGTCAGGAATTCTGAGAAGACTTTGGTTGGTTGTTTTTTTTAATAGGAAAGCTCTTATTTATTGCATATAAAACTTCTGCATTAGCACTTCAACCAAACTGCAGTGAAGAGCATAACTCTGGTTCAAAATGAGAGAATGAGTGACTGTTGGGCAGTGAGTTTCAATAGGTAATGTACAGCCATGGCCTCCTTTGTACCAGCTTGAGGATACACAGATAGAGTCAAATTGGAGCCAATCAAAATGAGAGCTGTGTATTTTTTACCTCTGGATTAAAGTTTAGCCAGATCAGTTTTCTGACCTGTCATAGTCAAGTAGGGTCTGCAAAACTTGTCAAGCTGGAATAAGAGAGGAGATGGGGGAACCTTTTCATAATCAAGCATATCTAAGTACCTTAAGGTTTATCTTAAAAATGATTTTGTTTTTTATGAATGTTCATTAAATTCTTGGCAGGATGGGAAGGCAGAATTGTAATAGCTAACATTAGCCAAGTGAGGTTAACCTTTGTGTTAATGTGTCCTCTGTAATGAGGACAGACAGAGAGCCTGATAAAAACTAGCAGAGCTTTTGTGGAGTGTGGCTGGGGAACATGGCATTTTCTTTCTTCTGTGACTTACTTGTGCTAGGACTTAAGAGGGTGCATCATTGAGTTGCATAAACTAAACTTGAGTATTTGTTAAATAGCACTCTGTGTGTGTGTACACATATTGTTTTTCAGGTGGAGGAATCCCTTCCTGGGATGCTGTTAGTACCTTGCAGTGCTTTTGTTGCAATGCCCCCAGACTCTATCAGATCTCCTGGCCTGATGGGATACTCTCTTCTCTTTCTCAACAGAGAAGTGCAAATGTTGCAAAAACCTGAAATTAAATTAGGAGGAATAGCTGGGAAAATGGACATTTAAAAAGCGTCTGGTGTGTGCTGCAGTTCTCTGCATAAAAGCATAAACAAGATACAAGTCTTGATTTGTGCCTTGTATGCAGTTTTTGTTCTATGCCAAGTACATTCTGAAATCTCTCATGCATATTGTGGGTTTTTTTTTTTTGGTTTTTTTTTTTGTTTTTTTTTGCTAGGAACTCGACAAAGAACTCCCAGTGTTACAGCCTTACTTTGTTCAAACACCAGAAGATGCTGGGAAGACAGGAGCCGGTATGCGAGTCACGTGGCTGGGACATGCCACAGTTATGGTGGAAATGGATGAACTTGTATTTCTTACTGACCCGATCTTCAGCCAGAGAGCTTCCCCTGTTCAGCTCTTGGGTCCCAAGCGCTTCCGAGGGCCCCCGTGCACGGTAGCGCAGCTGCCCAGGATAGACGCGGTGCTGATCAGCCACACCCACTACGATCACCTGGACTACAACAGCGTGGCCAGTCTGAACCAGCGCTTCGGGAGCGAGCTGCGCTGGTTTGTGCCCCTGGGGCTGCTGCAGTGGATGCAGAGATGCGGCTGTGAGAATGTCATCGAACTGGATTGGTGGGAGGAGAACTGTGTCCCTGGTCACGATGCGGTAACTTTTGTCTTCACCCCTTCCCAGCACTGGTGCAAAAGGACTGTGACAGATGATAACAAGGTTCTCTGGGGCAGCTGGTCTGTCTTGGGACCTTGGAATAGGTTTTTCTTTGCAGGAGATACTGGATATTGTTTTGCTTTTGAACAAATAGGTAAAAGGTTTGGACCTTTTGATCTTGCAGCCATCCCCATTGGAGCTTATGAGCCAAGGTAGGAAAATCAGAGTTTGAGCAATATATGTAAATGAAATTATTTACTGATGACAAAAAATGCACCCAGAAGTTAAAACTATAGGTGTACTTTATTAAAAAGTATGTGTATGTGTGATGTTTTTGGAGAGTTTTTTCTTCAGACTTAAGGACAGCAAGGATGAATCAGGAGTCTTTCTTCCCTTAAAAATGTTGAGTAAAAATCTGGAATTACTCTGTGCCTTTTTTTCTGAAACAGCATCATTTAATCCAGCCCATTCCACTGTATGTCATTTACTGCATTTTTCTCTTGCTTCAGTGTTTACCTGGTTTTGCAACTTATCTGGAGACAAGGATGAATGGCTTATAGAGTATGAAAAATCTGTTTTCTTAGGAGAGATAAATTTCTCCTTTTGGGGGAAACATTTACATGATTGTACTCATATAATGCTGGAAGGAAAGCATGTGGGCTGAAAAAAAAAAAGATGGGAATCCAAACAGCATGGTAAAAATTCTTTATCTCTCAAGAATTCCCAAGTTCTCTCTTCTGTTTTGCCTGTTCCCTTGGGCTATCTCTGAAGCACACACTTTTTGGTGTGTACCGCTAGTGCCAAATTTTTTCAGGAATAGCTTTAAAGTTTTGGCCCTAATGCCTCAAGGCACCAGTAATATGTCCTTAATCTATTGAAAATAGAGATAAGAAAAAGTCCTTCAAAAAGAGAGTACAATAAATGAACTGCTGTTTGATGAGTATGTTGGTATGTGTTAGTCTCCTGATCTTGAGCATTCTGTATGTTGTCCAGGTGTATGTGCTTGTGATTTTTTTGATTAGGTGAGAACTTATTTCTTTTTGTACTTTGCAATGGCAGTAAAGGAGAAATCTTGCACTGGATTAGGTCACACAAAAAAGTGATTCTTTGTTTTGGTAGGTGGTTTATGAAATACCAGCATGTGGATCCTGAAGAAGCTGTAAGAATCCATATTGATGTTCAAGCAAAGAAGTCTGTAGCAATTCATTGGGGGACCTTTGCTTTAGCAAATGAGGTAAATTGCAACACTAAACATGAGTTCAGATTTTCAGATTTCCATTTTTTTTCAAGGACTAGACAGTCATTAGTGAAGCTTTTGCAGTTTAACCTACATATCTGTAAATGTAAACTGAAAATGTGAACTTTGTATGAGAGAAAATTGTATGAGAGAAAATTGAGAAAAAGCAGCTATATACTGCTGTTCAAAACAATGCTTAGCTTTTCATAACCAATTACATAAAATATTTCCATGGTTAAGAAACTACAGAGTTATTGAAGCAAATGTGGAGGATTTCTGATATCCAGATGCTGAGGAACATAACAGATGAGGACACATGCAGTGTTATGCATTATGTTATGCAGTAATAAAAACAAACTGAGTGGTGCATCACTTGGAGATAGTAAAAACTGCATGCCTGTAGGTCAGTACAGTATTTATTAATTAGGTCTGTCTAGTAAATATATAAACAGTATTTTTTAATAGTTGATTCAAAGTTAAAACCAGAAAGGATATGAAAAAAAATAGAGTTATTTTGAGTTTTGGATATTTTTTTAATGTTGTATTCCCCTCTACACTCCCCCC